AAGTGGAATTTATGCTTAACATCCTTTGCCAGGGGAGGCCTTCAATAAAATGTTCACTGAAAAGATGGAAGGGCTGATGCTTTTTCCAACTTACCTGATTTCTCTGAAAACAGAAGTTACAAGCCCAGAGCTTGGCCCGATAGTCAACTTGGCTGCAAGGGAAAGATGAGGCAATTAGTATAACTGTAGGAACAATTTTACAGCACAGCTTCACAATTATCTATGCTGGTTCACAGCACTGAGGAAGAAACAGAATATCAGACAGTCCAACTTGAATGACAAGAGTTTTAGAGATTCAGACTCTTGTTCTATTGGCAGAAAGTCCATTAGCTCATCCAGCCCTGCCACTTCCAGGCTTGTCAGCATGACGAACCACTGACAGCTCTCCGAAGCTTAGCCTTTGGCAGACAAAGACTTGGGTCTAATCATTCTTTCACTATACTTGGGCTTATCTCAGTCATCTTACTGTTTGTACAGCTGTAGCACACAAGTACTCCAGTCACAGAGCAGCAGGAGCCATTCACCCAGATCCTGCGCAAACACTGAACAAATAGGCTGTTCCTTGCCCCAAAGAGTTTACTCTCCTCAGCCCGTTACGACATCCTGTAACTGCTGGTGCGGTAAAGCCTGGCCATATTCTTATTTCATGGGCTTGACCTCTTCTTACTTCCTCTCACCGGCCTTCCCTGCTTTTTCTCAGCCCAATGCTATGCTGTGAGTATGTATGATCATTACATGATTTTGGGACCGAGATTATTCCTCTTAAATTCTCAGCAAAACTTCAAAGAAAACCTTGATGCTCATACTGGAACTGACCTACAAGCAGTAGGATGTGTAGGAAGCAGGAAACTAAGTGAACGTCACAGTCCAGAGGACAGTATCAGTATAACTGGCATCTTTGTTTATTCTAAGTTTCATCATTCACCACAAAATTCTCTGGGATGTAAGAGGACTGGCCATTTCCATATCATCTCTGCTTTAATAGCCTCCCCAAAGGCACTCCTCTCTCTTCTGTTTCTGGCAGCTCTAGTAACGGGCTGCCATTCAACGTATCTCATTAAGCATGCACGGATTTTAACAAACCCACTACATCTAAATGAAAGAGGCTGCCAGGCACCGGGCAGAGAAAAAGGAGAATAAGGAAGTAGTGAAGTTCAGATAAAAACTAGGTACTATCCAGCCTCTCTTAACATCCCCAGCCAAGAAATTCATACCAGAGCGGGTTGAGCACCGCTTTGCAAGTCGGCCTGCTACAAAGCACCGGTTCATACTGCACTGGCGGCAGGTCAAGACGCTCCTTCAGTGGGGTCAGAAGACAGGCCAGGGGGACAACCATTCTTGTGGCCTCCAGCCTGCTGGAGGGCCACACGTTCCAGCTGAAACGCACTCCATCACGCTCCTCATTTTGCTGGATGAACTCCAGGTACGTCGCCATGGGTCTGCAGAAGCTCTGGAAGGACATAAGCAACACACATTCAGACAGCGGTCACCTGTTTGGACAACAGTCCTGCAAAGGAGGTCAGCAGATCAACTACATGTAGGCACAAGACGTTGCAGGACAAAGCCAATACGTTATAATGAGTTAATCCCATTATCAAATGAACCATGTGACTACGTTAATCTCTTCTGTCCAGTGCTCTCACCAACATCCCAGACAATTAAAACCCCACCAAATCCAATGAAGAAACAAGAAAATCTGACATCAAAGCCAGAATGCAAGTTTTTTTTCTTGTGATCCACATTTAACATCCCAATACCCACTCAGCCTCAGGCTGGCCTCAAGGCAATCCTGCCTGACTCAGGTCAGTAAAGGAAAACAGGTCAGATTTGCAACACATCCTGAAGCCTCCGGCTGAAACCTTGGGGGGAGAGAAGGAGGCCAAGTCTGAGATCAAAACACTCATCAGAAATGTCATCTGGTTGCCAGCCTGCCCTGCTTACAGATGGAAAGGAGCACATGACAAAAAGTTCAAAAAAGGTGTTTGGCGATTTTAGACACCCTCTGTGCATGGCACCGTGTCCCACTCCCAGTAAGGGAGGAATTGAGAGTCCAGCAGACTTCAGAAAAGACATGCTATTCAAGGAGAGATATCACCAACACACCAGAGAAGTCACTCTCTGTATTGCCTTACTAAACTCTTCAGAGTAAGATGCGAACAAGAGCTCCCAGGCCATCGTTACCTTTGATGTCTCTGAGAAAGGGAAGGACAAGCCTACCAAAAAACTCACTCGTTGAATCCAGCCCACAAACACCACACAGCACTGGCAGCAACTCACAGAGCCAAGAGCCGCGGCACCACGACCTGCTCCAGCCAAGGAAACTCAGAGGTTCACCTGCAGCTGCAGATGCTCCAGGATTACCTTATTCCTGGTCCTCACTTGCAGGCGGGAGATTCAGGAGGGCCGTAGGCATGAGGAACCAGAAGCATCACCTCCTCCAAAGGAGGAGAAGTTTTGATGTAACATTTCCTACAAACCTCCGAACTCCTCGACGTTTTCTTTGTCCTTGCTATTAAGGATGTATACCAAGTTCATGGGCATTGCCCTGCATTTCTGCCCCCACCTCTGGACAGGCAAACGGAAGGGTTCAGCAATACATCCCCACCACAAATGGGTCTGTCAGGGTAAAAGTCAGAGCTGAGCCTCCCTGTAAAAGATCCCGCACATCAGAACAGCAAGATAAACACCTGACATCTCAGGTATGCAGAGCAACTGCAGTGCAAATTTACTCCATGTTCCTCCAACTGCAGCCCAGCACCACTCCCCTGCCCCAGGCCGAGCCCTGATTGCTCGGCTGGGTTTGGCATGGGCTGTGGCCCTGCTTTGGGGTCAGGACGGCAGGAGGGGAGGCACCCCCACCCCAACGAGGGCTGTGTAGGGCCGGTTTAGGGCTGGGTGCCTGCCCAATCTGCCAGCCCCCACACCAGTGCAGGGCCCCAGTCCAGCAGTGACCTCCAGGGCCCGTCTCCAGCGGTGGGGAGGTCCCAAAGTCCCTTTCCAGGAGAGAATGGACCCTTCCAAAGCCTCAGCAGATGAGTGGTGGTAGTATTCCAGTCTCTGTATGGGATCTGCTATAGGGCACACTGCTGACCCCCACTCCGTCTAGCAAAGCTATAGGCAATGCTGCTGCTTCCTAGCAGTGCTACAGGGAACGTCACGGATCCCCCAGCTGCTCCACTCGGCACAGCTATAGGGGACACCACAGACCCCCAGCCTTTCACCAGAAAGCATATAAAGGACACCACAGATCCCTAGCGAAGCCATAGGGGCCACCTCTGACCCCTATGCCACTGATCCCCAGCACTGCCATAGGGTAAAGCACTGACCCCCTGCACTGCTACAGCTGGCACGGCTGACCCCCAGCACAGCCCCGGGAGACAGGGCTGACCCCAGCTCTGCCCTGCGGGACACCACCAGGCCCCAGCACCCTCCGCACAGCCCCCCGGGACACTGCCGCTCCCCCGCCCAC